AAGTTGAAAATGTTCCATCCATTAATATTGTATCGGCACCTAAAAGCATTTTCAATTGTTCACGTGATGCAAATAAAAGTATTCGCTGTCGTCTTGTAATCATTTTATCAACAATTAAAAAGTCATCATCGTGTAATGTTTTCGTAAAAGGTTCAGGGATATCAAATAATTGTGTTGTTGGAATTGTCGGTGTCATAGCACGACGTGCTTTGTTTATTCCACTGTCTGAAGATTAGAAGAAACAGCAATAAAGATCAGGTACACCTGCATAATATGCTCTTACTCATTTCACGTTCACTTGGTAATATAGGTGTTGTTGCATCTGATAGTTTCGCTTTTGCACATTCTTTGTCATATATCCGTGGTATAGGTGTTGTTTCATTTATTGCTCGTTGTTTAACTTCCTCACGAAATTCACGAACTTCAATAGTTTCTTCTTTCTGAAGGATGACTATGATCATCATTTATTTTAACTAAATGACCATTCAAATCTGTATGAATTTTAGCAGAGCAACTATTAACTACACATTTCCAATATTTAGTAGTAGTTGTTGTTTTATTTAATTTGAAAATATATTCATTTGCTATTAGCAATTGTTTTCCTTTTTGTGAATTAATAAATGAAATAGTTGGTGACTTTGATTGAGTTTCATCTTCTGAAGATGCGACAGCTGTATCCATAATGGTAGAATTTTAGTTATATATTACTCTTTTGTAGGAATTGTTGACTTAATCTATATCAAGTATTAATCATCACTGTTACAAGAGATGCAAAATGTAGACTAGTAGAATTATCGGAAAAGAAAACATGAATTATTCGTATTTAGAGTCATCATTTACGGTAGACATCGCTATTTCATTCATTTCGAATTTTGACATCTTTTTATGGAAAAATATATTCTTCGACTTTTTTCTCTTTCTATATTTTTTTCGACATTTTTCCCCGTTCTACAATTTTTTTCGACATTATTTCGTTTCGATATTTCCCTTTCGACATTTTTCCTCTTATATTTTTCCTCTTATATTTTTCCTCTTATATTTTTCCTTTCTACTTTTCTACGGCACACCTTTTGATTATGCTAAATATAGTATGAAGTAGCGTTTTCGTACGTTTTCTTTCCTTTTTGAGTATCGAATGAATCATAAAAAAGTTAATTGCACTTTTTCTTAGTTTTTGTAGAGTGTTTCACGGCTCACCTTGTTACATAAAAACCAAGATTTTATCATTTGTCTGTGCAAAATACTTTTCAAAACAAAATATGTTGCTACTAACTAGTTATTGGTACTGAATTGATTAAATAGGTTTTTCGTCGAATCCGTTAACGGATTCGTTTCCCTGAATCCTATCGGAATTTATTCACCTGGGGTACTAAGTTTGTATTTTGTATTGTGTTTCATATTGAAGAACATTTCGAATCGAACTTGTATATATATATATATATATATATATAGTGTTCGATATCTACTATGGAAACATTTACTTGAATTAAATTAACCATGTGGTGTTTTAATACACGAGCCAGAACAAAAACATGGGGCCGAACTTTGGAGGTGTAGTGTAGTCAGGTTTCAAAAGCTGTTTCGTTCGATATGTATGTTGGATTGCTTATGTATACGTCAGTGAAGAGGAACGTATAATCAGCGTAACAGAAGCATTTGATACATCCGCTGTTTTTCTTTTTCGAACATACCAGCGAAACAGTGTGAACTGAGCACAGTGATGAGTAATGGGTAATGTCATTTTTGAAATGGAAACAAAATCCGCATCACTAATATCAAGATCTAGGATATTCTGTTAGGAATGATGATGGATTTTATCTTTTTTGTAAACAAAAGCTCCGTAAACAACTGCCTTTTTTTACATTCGTATGACAGAGCAGCATCGTTGTATTGAATATATTGTAACCACACTACAATAGGGAGCACTTTTAAGCGCATTAGAAAGAGCTACATTGAAAAGCAACTTTTAAGTTTATAGATATTTTTTTGTTAGTCAGCCAGCAAAGCTGCTTATTCCTCAACGAACAAAAACTAAAAAGCCTGCAAAAAAGAGCTAGGATGTAGTACAACGTCTAATCGATTGAAATTGTTTTGAAAGTTATTGATAGCAAAATTCCTAATTTCATGAATCCATGTTTGCATACTTTTATCTAATCCATTTTTCTGCCTTGTTCAAAAAATAATAAACATCGTAGATATATTTTGCATGTGATTATCACCGGAAATCTTCATTTTTTTCTCATATCCTCTAACCATATTTTCTAAGTATGATAGCTTTTTACCTCTAGCAAATTGCTGTGTCCCAGTATAGCTTGTTAGTTTTCTGTTCCCCTTGCTTACTGGATTGGTATTTGATTATCATTATAAAATGTAAACAAAATATTTCATACGTAAGATAGAAAGTTCATAACCTCTATGAATGAGCCACGATTGCGATGAAAAAATATCAATGTGCTTGATTTTTAAAAATTACTCATTCAATCATAGAAGAAGTATGTGAAAGTGGCGTGCCACCGTCTTCAAGGATGAATATCCCAGAGATATCATACTGCGAGAGACTACTATAGCTGAGCCCTAATGCGCGAAACGTTTTATATTCCAGCGCAGATAGATTAGAAACATTATGCCACGCCGACCCAAAGTAATATTAACCCTTTCCGGCCCGCTGTTTGAAAATTGCCGTACCCCCCTAGGGGAAAATGTTGCCATATGGCAACACCGGGCCGGAAAGGGTTAAGATACGTATATGGAGAAGATTACTGGATAATTTGCATGAGATAGTGATGATACAATAACCAAACTAACACCATGTAGATCTACTACTGAATCAACACAGAGAAGGTTACATATATATGCAGCACGTTTGCATGGTTTTCGAACAACACTTATGGCGATGTAGCTGCCGAATAAAGAATCCCATTTTAAGTATAATATCCACATCCATTAATCGAAGACCGCGATTAATCATTGAAAAAACAAAGTAGGGAGCTGTATACCACCAAATGGGTGTATGAAGACTATATTCTTTCTCAAACTTATCAATATGACCTCCCGTGATATGACCATGAGCACGACAATAATTAGCGAGTTCTTTGACGGATTTCTCGCTGTCATCATCAATTTCCAAAAATGCCTCTTTCAGTAATTGGGTATACATAAACAACGGATCGATCCTATTAAAACTGACCGAGATCATACCACGATCACAATTTTTACGATCGATTTTCAATGCTTCGCAGAGCGGTTCTATTTGACTATAAACGCCTTTTACTTTTGCTATTGATTTCGCCCATTCTTCATAAATCGTTTGGTTCTCGGAGAATATGTATATGGAGTGAAGTTGTGAACATGCTTGAATTTGTGGTACTATATGTGGTCCCAACGCACCGGAAACTACCATGAATACTTTTTCGTCTTCAATCTCAGTGAGAAAATTAACACATTGGTCAGTATCTGTGAATGTTCTTATTGTTGCTACAATTCGTTGCAGATGTTTCATTGAATTTTTACAATCATCTTTCGATTGATTCAAATTAGCATCGAGCCAGATCAATAGAACATCTTCCAGAATCCTACTCATGTGTTCGAGTTGCTCAGCTGTATCACTCATGGCCACTGCCGCCGGTTCACAACTAGCAGCTGTCGTCGTTTTGTCACTGTCCATCATGTATCATTGAATGCAAAAATCAAAATTGTCAAAATTACTCGACTTCTACACCGATAATTGTCAATTCTTTCTATTTATACTACTCTCTAGCCTATTGCTAAAGACCTTAAGGGGGTTTTAGCTTAATTGCTCTTTAATTTTCATCATGTCACTGATGCAATTAAGCTGAACAGCGACTTTAACCTTTATACGCTATAGAACAAAGTGAAAGAAGAACGACAAGAAACTAAATGCATACCTTGTCTTGTCTCATATAATAGAGAGAAAAACTGTATACAGAACTAAAAGTATGCTTGCATTTTCTCCACTGTTCTTGGTACTATGATAAACCCTATTTTTCCTACAATTAAGCATCATATCCATATTCAACGGAATAGAAAAGGAGTATATGCAATATTTTATACAATGCTGACTTTTCCTCCTTTGACTGCCGATTAATAAATAGAAAGCAAATGATATCATGCGATGGGGATTCGATACTACGATCATCATATCATTTCTTTCTGAATGATACTTAAGTATAGAAGGTTTTCAACGTCGACACGGTGTGTACGACGCACATGGATATAGAGAAGCTATTTACAACCTAGTACGCAGTTGATGATGCTTTTTTCTCTTCACTCGAAGGTAATTGTCTATTCAATGGAGAGAAAAGGAGCATAAGTAATGAGGTTGTGGGTGTGGGTGTTGGTGTGGATTCAGAAGAAGACATCCAGACCCCCACACCCTCAAGCTTCTTTGTTCGTTTCTTGTTTGGTTTTTGTTTTATTTGTTGGATATGATCTATTACGTATTCGTATTTTTCTTGTTCTTTCGTTTTTTTTCCTCTTTTATGTAGTCTATAGGTATTCATATGTGATTTTGTCTTGTTTTTATTTTCTTGTTCTGTGTTTCTGTTTTACTTTGTTTTTCTTCTTTCTCTTTTCTCATCTCTTGTACTGTTAGGATCTTCGAATCGTAGTTTTAGCATAATAAAAAAAAGATCCTGCTTTATGTTTCAATTGATCTTTCGAGGATAAACCTTTTAAGTATTTATGGTAGTTGTGTTGACGCTTTTTCTTCCGTAGTCGAGTGGCAATATATGACAAATGTTGACTGAAAGGTTTACTGATCGCATATAGTTCAAATTTTTGTTTTCCATACTGTTTCGTGATACGTTTGAAAGCGCTTCTATACGATTGATCATCACCATGTACGAGTAGTACAAATGAAAACTTGCATATTAATTCGTCAAGACAAGACAAAATAGCTGAACAAGATGAATTATCTATTTGACGACAGTTAGATGGTGAAAGATGCATATGAGAATAAGTTCCAAATATCCGCTTGAGGTTATTGTACACAGGAAGTTTGAAATCATCCCAAAATATGTAACATTCACAACTTGATGAAGTTCGGGACAAATATTTTTGATGATCTTCGAAAAGACTGAATTGATCATCGTCACAATCAAATAAAACGAGCTGGCTACAGGCGAACGAGGAATGACTATCATTTGCCCCAAATTGAAATCCCCAAATCGTTCCCCGAAAAAAATCCCCAATTGGGGATGATAAAACAATTCTGGTAACCAAATGGGGATTTTAAATTGGGGATTTTTTTTTTGGGATTTTTTTTCATAATATACACTGTGTATGCTGTAATTCAATCGCATCTTGCTTCTCGTATTACACAGTATCAACTCAAGAATAAAATTTTCTAGCATGAGCACTGTGTTAGCCAAGGTTCAATTTAAGTTCTGGTGACCAGAAAATGATTTTTCATTCAATATTGAAGTATATAACAAATATGAATGCCTATCATTTACCCCAAAACTGGTTAGCACAAATCAATCCCCGAATAAAATCCCTATTTGAGGCAATCAAACGAATATAGTGAGGATATTGATTTGGGGATATTTTTTAATTCGCTAAACATAAGAAAACCAGCTTTGCGATGAATCTGGTGAGCAGAACATCTTATGGGGCACCAAAAACTACACTTTATAGTGACCCAAGATATATCCTGGTCATCAGATTCATTGCAAAGCTGGTTTTCTCATGTTTAGCGAATTAAAAAAGCATCCCCAAATCAATATCCTCACTATATTCGTTTGATTGCCCCAAATGGGGATTTTATTTGGAGATTGATTTTTACTAACCAGTTTCGGGGTAAATAATAACCTACCACCACTTTTACTAACTGTGTAATTGTGATGCTATTGATAAGAGTGAGTAGCAATGCGTATATAACAAAAATTTTTGTTATATACGCA